TCTCTTACGACTTGGGGTAGACTCTCAGTCTTTGTTGGTGTTTGGACTTTTAAGATGTGCTTTTTATTCTCCTTAGAAGTATTGAAAACTTAAACGCATTTGGGCAAGGGAATGGGTAAGATCCACTTTTATTTAAGACTCTTAGGATCCATCTTAATAATAGTCAATTCCCTTGCCCAGCTGGTGCAGCTCAGTGGTTGAGCACTGACCCGTGCACCAAGAGGTCGCCAGTTCAATTCCCAGTCAGGGCACATGCCCAGGTTGTGGGCCTGATCCCCAGTGGGGGAGTATGCAGGAGGTGGCCAGTCGATGTTCTCTCTCTACCTTCCTCTCTCTCTAAAATCAATAAAGGAAAAAAAAGTCAGTTTCCAAGAGGGGAAAAAATGAAAGACATGGTTTACATCAGCCTAGTCTCAAATTCTTAGGAACTATATAATGTTCCCAAGGTCAAAAACAGTATGAAGTAATTCAATTTACCTATCCTGGAGGCTACTACATCAGAAATTCAGTGAATGAAATTGCTCTTTAACTGGATGTGAGTATCATTTTAACTCTTTATAGTCTTTATGTTTATATTCTTTATGTCCTTTCTTTTTATGTTGAATTTGTTTCATTTTGTAAAGATTAAGAAGAACATGTTCTAGCTTTTAAATGTGAGAATTGAATTATAAATAGTTTTTAATTACAAAAATGCTCGCCTCTTTTTTCTCCCCCAAACAGTACATTTTCATAAATGTTGGACCTCACTGATATCAAGTGTCATTTAAAATTTTGCACTAAAAATTTAAAGCTTTTAATTTTTTTTGATTTATGACACAGCTGTTTTTTGAATGGGGAAAATGCAAAAACTACATGCAGTCTAATTAGATTACATTCTTTTTGTGCCCCCCACGTTTTAGTGGAGGCTACTAATCAAATCTCGATTTGTTATTTTTCAGGCTTAATGTTTCACACCAATAGGGCTATGGTTGCAGCATTGCTCCTCCCATCTTGTATCATCATAATCTGTTCATGCCTTTTTGACCCATACTGTTTGATACATTTAGTAAGCGGGGGATTATGTCATTCTTCATAAAAACTTGTGCACCTCTAGTCTCCTTATGATGTTGGCTGTAGTCACCTTAAGCTTCAAAAACTTCATGCTAATTCATTCTGGTTTAACCTCACATTCTGTGCTGTAATATAACTTGACTTTTAGAGAAATTAATTCATACAGTTTTAAAGAAATACAGGGTTAGGTGATTAAATCTAGGGTAAAAGAGGTACTCTGCTCCTTAGGTGATAGTCTGACATTGCTTATACATTCCTCGTACCGATTTCCCCCCACAGCTAGCTTTTCATTCCTTCTTCTAGCCCTCTGTTTTTCTCCTCTTTTCTGTCCTTCCTCCTCTTCGAGGCTCCTCTGATATTAACATCTTTACTGGTTTACCCAGTATTGAAATCTAGAAGTTACTTTTGATTACTTAGTACATCAAAATATTTTTATTTCATAATTAGTTCTTAGAAACCAAATCTCACCCAAAGGAAATTTTAAGAAGGGCTTAGCTTATGATGGTTAATAGAAATATGTGTTAGTAATTAGTCAAAATAAAGTAGCTCTGATATTGAAAGTGAATGAGTAGTGCAAAATTCCTTGTAAAATTAATTACATTTACAATTTTAAGATTATTGAGTCTTTGTTGATAAAATTTTATTTTTTTCATTATTTTGGGATAGGGAGTTTTTGTGATGGAAGTGTTCTTAATTAGTAAGCATCAAAGCTTTATTAAGAAGTCATTCTTACTGGTCTTATGATGAAAAGTAATCAAGTGAGTTTAGGCATAATTGGCCAAGTGTGGAAAAGTTTTATTATAGGAAAAAACATTTCAGCTACAAAGAAGAGGTATAGTTGTTGCTCTCTTTCCACTGTCTAGATGATTAGAGATGATGGTATTCTTGGCATTTACTTTCAAATTGGGAAGTTATTTTTTTAAATGGATATCTAAGTGTGTAGAGAAGTCTGGGGAATTAAAGCATATCATGTACAGCAAAATATAGTAAACAAACAAAGAAACCATAATTATATAGAAAACAAAACCTATTTCCCCTGATACCAAATGCAAATGACATTAGATAGTAGAATTATCTGTCAGTTTTTTTCATATCTTGGTGTTGATTACAAGTTTGGTAAATCAGTCTTTTAAACAATGGATTTCCAAAATAATCACTTACATATTTATGGCATATATGTGCATTGAAAAATTAGATACAAATATAATCTGTTGCATATGAAAAGTAAGGTAACATGAAACTGACATTCACACACTGTGTGTTTAACAACTTGATTTTGAGTTTAAAGACTAAAGGCAAAATTCACTTTCATTGTCTTAATATACAAAAAGTCAAATAAAAATTTGGTGACTAACTTGGAGGAACAAGACAAGTGAACTATAGACACATTTTATAATTAAACAGCTTTTGGATATGTAGGTACTAGTGATTACTGGTGCTTTAGGACTATGGATTATAAAGAGACAGTGTTACTATTTCTGTTTTAAAGTTTAGTGCCTACATAGCCAGTGGGTCAGATATCCAAAATGGGTAATCATTGGTATTGTGCTTCAGACTTTAGATCTTAACAAATAAAAATGAAAAACATTTGGATATGATTAAAGAACAAAGAAACAAGGGGATAGAGAGCAACCCAGTTCAGAAAATATGGAACAGTTGGTTCACCCTAATTATAGCCATCTTGATTTTTCTTTTTTCTTCTGTGTATCAGTTGGAAGTTCAGATGAAAATTAACCCTTTGCCTAATTATAGAAATAAATTTGGTGCAGATTTTCTAGAATGGCTTTATGCTTTTCCTTAAACTCAGATTTCAAAAGTCAGTTGCAGTTTGTGTTGGCCGTAATTCTTTCCTTTGATATAGTTCAGCAGTTTACTTTTTATTTCCTAAGACTGAATTTCTTATATCTACCATCATCTAAATGAAGATGTGTTGACATAAATAAGAAGATCAAAGGTTCAACTAATTAAAGGAGTTTTACATTTGAATTAGTCTGAGTTCTACGGAAGTGGGGCTGAATCTAAGCAAATGATGGAACATTCTGCATAATGATAATGATTTTGCAGATTGTTTATTGTTGCCAGTCAAGCACTAAAATAAGGTCTAAGTCCTGACCCTTCTGTTCCATAAATTTTCTCATAAAGGTTATGGAAATTGGGACGTATTTGGTTTTCCAATAGAGATGAATTTATTGAGATGTAGATTACTTTATACTTGATTGCTTACTTTTCATTCTTTTTCCACTTATCATAAATACCTTCATTTATTCTGTATTCGTATTATATAAGAAGTTACATGTTTCTTTTGTAAATTTTATAGAAAGGATGACAACTGTAGACTTTATTGGCAGGTGTATATTATATGATTTCTTTGGTACCTAGCATTTTTTTTTTTTTGCTTGTTATTTGAGAGTCATTAAACACAGGCACACAACTAAAAATGAGGGAAAAGAACCAACACTTTCAATGTCAAAGTCCGGTTGAAACATTGTAGGGTTTTATATACATTCCAGATTTGATGGCTTTCTTTGTTAATTTTTCTCTATATTTACTTTTATTTCTAAAGTAATTATTGTACCTCCAACCTCTACCCTTCAAACCCCTCAACACACACACAAATGCAGCTGAAGCTTCAAAATGGAAAGGTTGTATATAGACCTATTGAGTGCCTAAACAGGAATATAAAGAAGCAAGATCAGCTCAAAAATTATGATTAGCATATGCCCTGGCTGGCTGGCTCAGTTGGTTGGAGTGTCGTCCTGTGCACCAAAAGGTTGCGTTTTTGATCCCAGTTAGAGTGCCTACCCAGGTTGCAGATTTGATCCCTGGTTTGGGCATGTTGATTGATGTTTCTCTTTCACATTGGTATTTATCCTCCCCAACCCCCATCAATAAAAAACAACTACATATCCTCAGGTGAGAATTAAAAACATTTATGATGAACATAATTAATATTATAAATTTATGAAATGGTAGGAAAGAGTGCAGATGATACTATTATTTTGACCTATGAGTCATGCTTTATGCCTTAAATCATGTCAGAATCTCCAGAACTTAACATGGAAATTAGAATAGAGGCAACACTTGCATTTCCCTTCATTCCAAACCATTTTTTCCATATTCTCATAGCGCTGTATTTCTAAAACAGATTTGATGATGTCCTTAGTCTGTTTAATTCATTTTGGATCCCCATTTCTTATAGCAGGAACTCTTACCAAGGGAAGTATATTAGAATTGCTCAAGGAGCATCTAAAATATGCACATACTGGAACCCATCATCAGAAACTCTGATTTTTTCGTAGGAGTGAAAAGTGTATTTGACAAAAGCTTTTTTTCGTTATTTCAGATGCCGCTTTATGTCATGATCCAACCAAATTTTCTTATTTTGTCTTAAGCCATTTCCTCCAGTCATCTTCTGTTCTTCTCTCGCCATGCTAAGCTTAGGTGTTTTCCAAGTAGTTTTATTCCATTCCTCTAATACTTTTGTACATGTTATTCCTACACTCCAAAGTACCTTCTCCTTCTCTTCCTGCTCTCCCTTCCTCTTCATTCTAAATCTTAAATCTGTCAAACAACTACTTATCTTCCTAAATTCTCCCCTCATGACAAATCTTTCCTTAATCCCCCGTGTTGAAATAGCCACTCTGTATTTTGTGTTTAGGATTTATATTGATTACTTTTTTCGGTGTCATCTTTCCCATTAAATTTATGTAATTTAGCTTGTTCATGTTTACATTAAATGACTATATATGGATTCATAATAAGTGAAAAGCCTGTTTGGAATTTAAATGTATAACTCTTTATGAACATTATTTTTAGGGTTATTATTAAATGTGATCAACCACCAACATCTAAGTTGTCACTGTACATAATTTTATTTTTCATAATATATGGTACCATTAAAACATATGTACTTATTTATTTTTCTTCTTTTTACTCCCTTGTGTCTACAGGCGAAATCTCACAAAGCTGTCCCTTATCTTCAGTCACATGCTGGCAGAAATCAAAGCAATCTTCCCCAATGGACAGTTCCAGGGAGATAATTTTCGTATCACAAAAGCAGATGCTGCTGAATTCTGGAGAAAGTTTTTTGAAGACAAGTAAGTAAAAATCATTGTATCATTTGGATCCATCTTTGAAGAATGACCTAGTCCTTCCTCCACTTCCATATGGCATAGATTTTACTTAGTAGTTTGAGAATGTACTTGGGTGTTTTTGATAAGTGGCCACCGAAAGTATACCTCAATACATGAATAGTTTTATGCTATCACAGAGTAAATATCAGTTATATAGCATTTATTTATTTCATGATGATTGAATTAGTTTGCTCTAAGAAGCAGTCGTATGTATGACAGTTTCTATACATAGCTTTTAATAACTTAGTAGACACCTGAGACACGTGTACACAATAAGAGGCAAGAAGAGACAGATACTTTAAAGATGGCATAAATAAGTTGCTCTGAAGTTCAGAGTAAACAGTTGCTTCAGAAATTCAGGAGTCAGAGACTACTTCCTAAAGGAGGTGGTGTTTAAGCTTGGATAAGCTCTGAAATTTCAGTGGCAGGAGGCTTTAGAATCTTGATTCAGGCTGTCTTTGTATTGTTGCACAGAAAGTATACATGTGTAAACAAGGTATAGAAATGAGGATACTATTAGCACAAGGTCGCATTATGTTATGAAATGGCCTGTTAAAGATGTTTTCCTTTAGGTATTTCCTACCCAGACTCAAGTGAGCTTAGTAAATAGCAGGAGTTGTATGTTTGAAGCCAGCATAACTTAAAAACTTGCAAAACTGAAAAAAATTTATTGGGGATCTCTCAGTAGTATGATAAAAAACTGAGTATCAAGAGGCAAATGGTTTCTTCCGTAACCTTTTAATGATGAGCGTGCACATGAGAAAGTCCTGGGATGTAGGCAGCACCCCAGCTGAACATTCAGGAGGAAGAGAGATTGCTTACACATGCATTATTGTTTTCATCCTGCAGTTAAAAGTCTATATTTATACGTTAACTGGTGAAATGAGACATATCAAATGTTGGTAGATGCTTTTGGTGGTCTTAGTCCTCTGATGCTGGTGAATCAACTGTAACATTGTTTTTGTTTTTGTTTTCTTTAGGAAGTGATATGTTTATCTATAGCTGCCACCATGATTAGAATATACTTCTAGAAAGCAATGCACATTTTAGTCCATATATAATTTTTGTACTTTGAAAATGTGAAATCCTTTTTTCTACTTCTTAAATAAAATATATTCTGCATTCTTTTTAGACTCTAAAGGAAAAAATGCCATTATTGCCATTATTAAGAGCATTCTGTATTCCAGAAATCTAGCTATTCGCACTGCTGTGCTATCCAGTCAAAAATGAGGGATTGAAAAAAAGAAAAGGTTCATCCTCATCTGAATTTGAATAATGGCCAAAAGTGTATTAATTAAATACTTGTGCATAGTAGAGAGGAAAAAGGCATTGCTGAGTTCTGGGAAAAAGAACTGAGAAGATTTCTGGAAGTCATATATTAACACTGGAAGCCTAATACAGACAGTTGGTTACCTTCAAAATAAACTTTATCTTAACATTTTAAGAAAATCTATAGAACAAATTGTGGTATTTCTTTTTGAAAACTGAAAATTTTAGTGAGTCATGAAATTACTTGTCAAAAGGTCAGTAAAAAATGGAAAGATTGGTCACACATTTTTCAAGAGAAGAGTTTGTTTTCTGGCACCTCAAGCCACAGAGAATTATGCATTTGAGACATCTTTATTTCCCTTTATTTATAGCTGTGGACGTCGAGGAGCTGAAATTTCTGTTCAACTGCTACATGAGTGAAATCACTCCTAAATCAAACAGGATTTTTGAAATACTGATTACTCTCCTTACCTCCCATACCCTTGTACTGAGGTCTCCTGTCTTCACTTACTTGGCAAAGCTGCCTACTTTTTCTTTAACAGTTTTAGTTTTTGGATGAGAGCCAAATTGAAAACTCCTTCTGGAATTCAGACATAGTTTTATAGTCATGAAAATTAATGATTCTTTTAATAGATCATTGGAGAAACCATCTTTGTATTCTCGGTGGGTTTTCAGCTTATCATTCCACAATATTTTGTTGAACGAGTGAACAAATAAATGAATGATGTAGCCTTTCAGAAGATTGAATTCTTCTATCTTCCTTGTGCACTAATACTAGTTTGTATTTCCATATAACTTAGTTTTATGCAGAAGCATTCCTGTCATTTGCCATTTATCTAGCTTCACATTGAGATCACATGAGAATACTTTCTTTGACTTAATCAGCACCTTTGAACTTAAAGCAGTATTTTTGCCAAAAACAGAACCATTCATTGAGGGGTTAGTTCTAAAAACAGCCAAACAGATTATACTTTTTATAAAGCAGCTTTTAGCTTAAGGAGTATTATTGTGACTTTTTTTCCCTCCAAAAAGAACTATCAATAAGAATAACATATTAAGATTGAATTAAAATTGGGAACAAGCTATTTTTCAAAGGACATTGTAAAATTCCTAAAGGCAAATTTAGGATTCAGACCTTATGAAAACAGGCAGCAGGCATAAAATCTTTAGGTGTCCTATACCTAATGCTTAATTTCTCTGCATCTCAACCTTTTTGAAGTGATGGCAGGGCCCACCTCTCTGCTCAGGACCAAGCGCAGCTGTGAAGAGACTGCCTGCTTGCTGTTTTCAGGGACTCAGTAACACACTTTATATTTCTGTATTTGTTATATTTTTATGTAAATATATTGAATGTTTTAATAGTTGAGTCCTGCTTTTGCTTTCTTAGTCTGTTCACCAGGCAATAGTAGAAATATGTAGGAAAAGAGAAGCGATATCATTGAATAAACGTGTCTGAGTAAATTGTGCAAAACGAGGCCAATACCAAGCTGATTTTTTGTACTGCGGATTAGTAATTTATAATCTAGAAGCTTGAAGCAGTGAGGCTCAAGAAACGGGCTACTGGCTGTTAAGAAAAGACGCACTGATGTGCTAGACTCTGGGTGACAGTCCTTTTTCTCAGCAGGTCAAGTAGCAGTTTCTGGGCTACGTGTGCTGAGTACTTCTTGACACTGAGATTTAGACATGCATTTCCAACCAACTGTAATTCAACAGAACTTGGATTCCTCCTGAATCTTCTTATATGTCCTCTATTCCCCATGTTTGACTCAAGTTCCATTCTTTTATTTCAAGTTCAGATTCTTTCCTGGCTTTCTGATGAGTCTCCCTGTGTTCCGTAACAACCTGTCCAGTTGTTTTTCTGAGACCAGTGACCTCTCTAAAAAGTAGAACTAATCATTCCAATTTTTTTGTTTTGCCTGAAGTGCTTCAATGAATCCTTACTGATTCTGGGTTAAACTCTAAAACCCCATTAATGTGACAAGCTTTAGGAACTGCATTTTCCAGCTTTATCTTTCTGTATTCAGCTCATCCTCAAAGAAACAAACTGCTCAGCACTCTACTTATAAGTAAACAAACTACTTATTTCCTAATGTGCCCCCCCCCCCAATACATTTTATTGCATCTACTGCATGGGACACCACTTTCCCATGCCCTGCCCAGTGTTGCCACTTTGGAAGCTTTCCTTGACTGCCCTAATAGAAGGTGGACACTCCTGCTCTGGGCTTCCAGATACCTGTGCACACATCTGTCATCTGGACCGCAGTGAACTGCTGACATGTTTGCATTTCCCAATAGACTACGAAGGTTCCTTGAGGCAGGGACCATGCCTTACTGATTTTTATTTCTTAGAGCCTAGCACATATCCTGGTATGGGTAGGCACTAATGTTAACAGACTATGTGAATAATTGAATGGGTGAGTTGATGTTGATTTCTGCTCAAAATTTTCAATGAGCTTATTACCTACAAATTGATGTATTTATTTTTATCATGAGTTCCTGTAGTTCTACTCCCTGAAATGCCTCTTTCCCTCTTTTTTATTTTTCACTGCCCCAGACTTTTGACACTCTTCTTCAAATCTAGTTCAGAAATCCCCCTTTCTTGGTTATTCTCAACAATATACAGCCTCTTACACATTCAACTTTAATTACTCAATGCTTTGTGTTCCTGTTGTGTTTTAAATATGTTTACATTATTGAATGTATGTTTATTATATGGGTTTTTCTACTTGACTATGAAGCTCCTTGTTGATTTTTTTATCCAAAAATTAGTGGAAACAGATACATTTATTAGTGTTATGTGTTGAACTCTGTGTTCATTGCTTTCATATAATCTAACTCTATTTTCAGTATAATGTTTAATAATTCTTTAAATGGTCATTGAATGAGTCCTTCAGGTACTATATATATAGCAGTAATTGTTGATTGGGTTCATGGCATATTTTCCCATCATTTAAGTTCTCTCTTCTTTACCTATGTTCTGTTTTTCAGTGAAGTGGATTATTGTGCTCTTTTCTGATTTATCAGTAGTTGCAGGTTTCTCTGTCCTTGCTTATGTTACTCTTTCTACATTAAGATTTTTATAATCTCTGGCATCAAAGTTATCTGATCTTAAGATGTTCATCTCACTTATGATTCTCTCCCTACTGTTATTACCAGATCTCTTCTTAAATTCCTCTAAGCTCCTGCTTAGCCCCTGGCATTATTTTCATTGTTTTATTATTATTTGTGTAGTTGTCTTATTTCCCATTAGACTAGAAGCTCCATGAAATCTGGCTTATCTTTGCATTTTCTGAAGTAGCTCAACACAGTGTCTCCTATTTAGTCTTTCAGGAACTGTTGTTCATTTAGTTCAGATGAGTTGAGGAGTAGAGGAATGTGTGTGAGCATGTGTACCTGTGAGTTAGAGTTAGAGAAAGAGAAACAGAGCTTGTTTAGTTCATGGACTGGGAGGCAGGATGCTTAGAGGTCATCTGTTCAGGTTCTGACTGCAACATTTACTGGCTTTGTGGCTTTGGGCAAGCTGCTTGGTTTCTCCATGCATCAGTTTCTTCATTTATAAAATGTGGATGATGATAATGGTACCAACTATCCAGGGTTGCTGTGAAGGTTAAAAGAGCAGAAGTGTACCTACAGGGCACATAGAACAGTGTCTGGCACAGTAGACACTTTATATTGTGGAATAATGAGCCAATTTA